GCTCTTTGGTTCCGGGGTCCGGCGGGCCTGCCCAGCCCCAGGGCTGGGCCGCTGGGCCGGCGCTGGTATCGCCCTTTAGCTCAATTTTTTGGGCCTAACTCAGACGCAGGTAGGAAACGCTGACGTTTGCTGCCGAGGGAAACGAAGACTTGACGATTGGTTTTCTTGATACCAGCCCTTCGGCTCCGTGCACAAACGCAACGGCCCGCTCCCCTCCCGAGATGCCACCGAACTGGGTTTTGCTAATGAAAAGCCAATGAGCGCCGCGTGCTACCGGCATCCCCCGCCAAAAGCACAGCGGATCTGCTGGGCAGGCTGAAATCGGCACCCTTTGTGCAAGCTGTACCAGCTCACGTTCAGCCTTTCACAATTACTGATGACGCAAAGTCCACACGCTGTAATTATTGCAGTTGAATGAATGAATGAAAAAGCCCCTTATAAACGCGGTGGCGTACGTGTCTATTGAATTAACTTCCCACAGAGCCAAATGCAGCCACCAAACCAAAAGACATTTGGCGTCTTTAATTTCTTTTCTAGATGGGAGAGTCCGTGATTCCAGCCAGCCGGCCGTCAGACGGGGAACGCGCCTGACCCTCCTAACGCATCGGCTGCCGGGGGACCGCGGTGCCCAATTACGAAGTCCCAGGCCTGCCTGCCGCACCCAGGTTGAGACAGTTATTTTCTGTTTTCACTTGCTCACGTAACTAAAGGAAGGGAGCTAAATGTACGCTTTTGCCTTCCTCTGGAAAGTTTTGCTCTGTTGCAGGTAGCTCCCAGAGCTTTGTCTCTAAAGCCCGTTTAATAACATCCGCGCTGTCTTTGAAAGGGGCCTTTCTGCTCAGAAGAGCTCGTGGAGGCCTTCAGAGATCCTCTCAGCCACCCTGTGGGATCAGCTCTCCCTATATTGTTCCTGATGGATTTTTCCGAGCCTGGGTTAGGTAAACGGTGACGACAATTCCATGCCGTTCCCAGCAGCCTGCTGTGAATCACCTGCACCTCACTTTTGAGCAGATCCTTCACGGTCACCCAGCAACAAAAAGCTCTTTCCCGGGAAGCGGACAGGAGTTCCTGCCAATAGCAGAGCAGCGGTACGCGCAGGGCTTTATTGTACCGTCCTTCTCCGTTTACAGCGGGACCCGCGATGCTGCTGTTGGCACAGAGGCCTTCACAAAGGCCAAGCAGCTTTGGGTGTTTTCCCC